CGCAGCATCGCGCTGCTCGGTGAGTGCCCCCGCATCCCCCGCGCCGGCACCGACGGCAACTTGCACCGGGCTGCTCGCTGGGACGTCCTAGCCCGGCCTGTCTGCCGGGCACTGGTGCTGTCGCCGCTCGCGCTCCTTGCCAGGATATCAGGGCATCTCTGCCCGAGCTCCTTGCCGGGTACCAGGGCAGCCCTGCTTGGCACCCCCCTACAAGGCACCTGGGCCCGGGATCCCCGCTGGAGGACCAGAGCATCCCTGCTCCATATGTGTAGGGACACAGGGCACCTGGGCATCCTGACCCGGGCTCCCCCAGGGGCTTCCTGCCCAGGGATTTTCCCTCCAACCAGGGACGTCAGTGCCCAGGTTCCCTGCTGGTCTGCAGAGCGTCTTGTTGCCTGGGCACCTCACTGTCCTGCTCCGCTGATGGTGGGGGCTCAGGCTGCTTCTGGAGGAATGCTGGGCTTGTCCAGGGTCCTGCAGTCCTGCAATGGGTTTGGGCTTGTGTAAGTGCCTTACACCTCAGCAGGGTTGTTTCTGGGTTAAAAATCCCTTTGGCTCCATGGCGACCCTTCACTACTAAGGAATAGTGTTTCCTGAGTGTGTTTTCAAGAGCATTCCTCTCTTGTCAAGCTTTTCTCCATATAGTGGTAACTATTTAATATTTGACTAGTTTGCTGAACTAATTTGTGGTAAAAATGCAATTTTAATTTAAATTCTATTTGTTTAAAATAACTACACTACATTTGTCTTTTTTTTTTCACTTTTTAAATAACTGTCATGGTAAATTCCTGGGGGAAGGAAGAAGGGATGTCTGGTGAGAATGGGATACCAAAAAGGTGGTGCTCACAATCTAAGGTGCAGGACAGGAACTGCATGGGATGAATTTCTCAGCTTTAACACCCCTGGAGAAGGGAGGCAAGCACAGAAAAGTGCTCCCCTGCCAGGTGTAGCAGTGGTACAAGCACAGATAGGCTGGCAAGGAAATCTACCTTTACTGAGATGACTCCACCTGCCTGTGCACCAGGGTTTCTTTTCATGTAAAACGCTGTAGGGCCAAGGGAGGGACGCAGTGTCCTGTCCAGTTGTGCACTGGTATGGAAGGAGAACACAACTGACCTGGAGAACTCAGAAGAACATTTAGATCTGGTCATATGGATGTGGCCACTGAGAGTGGGACTAGGTTTCTTGTTCAGCTAACTGTGCTACCCCGCGGTGGGGATGGAGAGAGACATCCCAGAACTGAACACTGACAAATTCTGGCAGGGCAAAGCTCCAGCGAGCACAAGGACACAGATCCAGCTGTGACGAAAAGCCAGTCTGAGTGCCAGAGCCGTCCAGTCCAGCCCAGCTGTGACAGCTCCATCCCTCTCCTTTCCTCCCCTGCACAGGGCACTACTTCCTTCTGCTTAACTAGAAAACATCCATTGACTTCTACAAAACTCTCAGTGTTTTGGCTTATAGTCCTTGGCTCCCTCTCTCAGAGGGGTGGCAGTTCCTGCTGAGTTGCAATGCAGATTGCCCCTGCATTCCCAAACAAACCCTGGCACTGGTCAGAGCGTGCCCCTGTCAGCAGACATTATGAAAGCTCCCCCAGATATGCAAGGCCATACTTCCTCCTCCAGATGCCCCTCACCAAATGTGACCACGACATTGAAGCCTCACTTCTCGGGTATGTAGGGGAATGGGCTTCTCTTCGAAAGCAGCTATTGCTTCCCATGGCCGTGCTCTGCTCTTTGTGGAGCCTCCTTTAGCAGAGGAACTTTGCAAATCTTTTAAAAAAATGTGTCCAACACTTATTACGCCCAGGTGAAATGTGCTCCAAGAGTTTGCACACCAGGATTAGGGCCAAGAGGTTTTAGAGATGAGTGGGCAGAATTGTGCTGCCTGCTGCCCGGAGGAAGGAAAAGGCTTCAGCACAGATGAGTTTCTGCTCTCAGCAGCTTCCACGGGGAGCAGCTACCCAACTCTGTGAGTGCCAGTGTGCTACAAAACATCTGGCATGAAGAGCCCATGGCACGATGGGGCTCTGCAATGGGATGTGTTCGAAGCAAGGGCGATGAATCCATGGCCACCAAATTCGAAGTGTTTGCTGCAGCGTCTGCCACATCCCAACGGGGACCCTCTTTTCAGGCAGCAAATGCCTCCTGCCTCCAATTCACGGGCAAGGAATTCTGTCTGGGAATGCTTCCCCCGAGCCCACACCATCTCTTTCCCATACTATGGGCACTTGCAGGCTGTCTCCAGCAGCAGCCTGATGCCATCTCGTGGCTGAATAACGGCTCTGGAAGAATCCTATTTCTGTCTTGCAGCTGCTTTTTCTCCAGAAAACTCCAATGTAAATTTTTAACAGTGTGTTTCTCCCTGGGATCCATATTCCAGGATGCTTCTGGATATCTTGGCACAGGCAGATGCATGCAAAGCATGCAAAAATGTGCCTTACCCGAGTGCTGCAGGTGGGGATGTTGTCTTCACAGAAGACCCAGTAACCTCGTGTTTCTGCCTCCAGGAGAGCAGCTGGCTGCATTTCGCACCCAGGATGGACGGGCCTACGTGGTGGACGCTTACTGCCCTCACCTTGGTGCTAACCTTGCCATGGGTGGTCGTGTCATGGGCAACTGCATCGAATGCCCATTTCATGGGTGGCGGTTTCGAGGAGAGGACGGAAAATGCACCAGCATCCCATATGCTGAAAAAGGTGAAACTTCCCCAAACCACATCTACATTAATGGCCTGGTGTGTCCTCATCCTCATAAAAAAACCTACTCTACTAAGGAAATGCAGGGTTTTTAAAGGAACTTGCCCTCCATGCTGTCCCCTGATGTCATGCATTGCCCTAATTCTGCTCGAGTTTTCTGTGTCCTCGTGTAATTATCAGTGCTTTCACATGTTAGATGATAACTGGGACTTTAATCTGCTTAAATAACTAGCCTTTCCAATGTGGTAGTGCTGCATTTAGTGTATTTAGCAAGAAATGTATCATCAAAAGAACATTTTTAACTCTGAAAATTTCACCCTGAGCCGTGAAAACAAAAAGCAGCCGAGTGATGGGTTCTGAGGAAATACTGGGTTTCAGAATTTCTTTTGTACTCTGCAGTAATAGCCCATACCATGTCAATACTTGGGAAAACAGTGTCTAAATGGCAATTTTCCCTCCTTTTCAGATTTGAAGAGGTCTGTTAGAATCTAGGCAAGCTCTTCAAATACCCCTATCCCTTGAATGCAGTCTGCATTGTGCAGGGAGAACATCTTACATAAAGTTCATATGTAGCAATTTATCTGCTTTCCATAATCATTTTAAATTGTTTCCATAATCAATTTAAAGCACCAATTTTAATGCAACTGGAATCAGCAAGCAAGTTTAAAACACTTTGAATTTTGCTTTGGCTTGGGTCTCAAATATTTTCTTAAATAAGTTCAGCAATCCCTGAGTGGGATAGCAATGAAAATATCAGTTAGTAGCAGAACTCAGCCTTTCTGTCAAACAAACCGTTTCTCTCAAAGCTGAAGAAACGTTTTTTCTATATGTTACAAAATAAACAATTTATACATCTCACCAAGCAATGATTTCTATTTTTTATTTTGCCAAAATAAATCCAAATTTTTAATATTTTACTTTTTCCTACCCCTATTCACTGGAATTTGATTCCAAGTATCAAGCAGAGAGTTTTTCATTATGAAATGACAAGGAATATTCCAGTCATAGGCAACTGCTTGCCAAAATGCAGTGTTCCACCTGAACCTGCTTTATTAAAGCATTGTTATCTGCTGTGATTAAGTGTGCAAAGCTGCAGACAGCTGCCCTGCTGCTGCTGCCTCCCAGATGGGTTAGGTTGATTTAAACAGATTAAAAAGCCGTCTGTGTTCACCTGGGTCACTTTGAGAGAGGGCTGTGGTGGAGCACGGGGATGGGTGGCTCCGCTGCCCGGTTGGGTGCCAACCCCCTGCTCTGCACAGTGCTGCCCATGCTCCAGAACCCGGCCTGGGCTCCAAAATCCAAGAGCAGCAGAGGCAGCTCCTGGCTGCCAGGAGCCTTCAGCCAGGCTGAAGAGCCACAGGGCACCAGATGTTGGCCAGCAAACGAAACCTTCTTTGGAAGAGGTGACCCCCCACCCTGCCATCATCACCAGATCTTCCATTAGCAAGAGCAGCGATGCTCACCTTCTGCCTTGTCTGGCATTCAGAGATTGGAAAAGAAGCATAAGCTCTCCTGTTATTTCACCTCCCAAGTCATTTTATAATTCTGAGTAATAAGGAAGTGTAAGTCTTTCTGCCCTTGCTTGCAAACCGAAGAAAAGCAATTAAGTATTTCCTTGCAGTAAGAAGCTAAATGTTCTGTCATTCTAGTAAATGTAAATATGAAAATGCATTTAATTGGAAAAGCTGCAGATACAGCAGCTGATGATATTACAACAGAGACTGACTTGAACTCAGGAGTTAAGGACAGCTTTTACTTAAATATACCTGTAACTAAGACTCTAACTTTTAACTTACCAAAGTTTGAGGAGGGTTCTTTGATGTATCATGAGTTTACTTATTTGAATGGTTTTAAGAGCACTAAAAGTAGCCTGAAGAGTAAATAGCCATAGTTTCAGCTTATTCCCTAGAAGATTTATGCAAAATCCTAAATTGAAATAAAATTGATGCAAGCAAATGACCTCCTACAAGTCTCAGGATCATATGCTGAGGCTCAGTATACTGAAACTCCCCTAGAGAGCCTGTGTCACATTAACATCCCCCATGCAGATGAGCTCCTAGCTGCAGTTCCGGACAAGGTGATGTTTAAGCAACGTCAGCCTGGGAAACACCTTTTAACCAAGCAATGGATTAATTTCTTCCTCAGTGCCAGATTTTGCAAAGGTTCGGACCTGGCCCTCCTGTGAAGTGAATGGGATGCTGCTGATCTGGTACCACTGCGACGGGGTTGGCCCGACATGGGCTGTCCCTGAGCAGCGCGAGATCGCCACGAAGGAGTGGGTGTTTCGTGGGCAAACAGAGCATTTCATCAAAGCCCACATCCAGGTAGGGGAGCTGGCCAGGGCCTGGTCCCTCCATGGGTGACTTGGGTACTGAGAAACCATGTCCTAAGGAAGGTGCCAGAGGGCTCAGTGGTGATTCATGATTTAGGGTAACTTGCACCTCTTGCCTTTTCTTTCTTAAAAGCATCTTCCAAGGTTAAGCAGAGAGGAGTTGGAAGCACCATGTAGACACGGGGCCATGTCTGTGTCTGGTGCTGTCTTGAATAGCCCAGTTCAGGCACAACTCTACCAGGTAACCAGTGCTCTTGCCCAGCATCACCAGCCAGTCCCAGCACTGACAGCAGAGTTTAGAGCTAGAATTATGTCGCTGTGATACACAGAGAATGCACCATATGTTCTCCAGACACAGAACTTGTACTTTTTGAATAAAGAACAGATGTCCTGTGTATTTAAATGAATTGGTTAATTTACTTTAACTTATAAATATTTTCAATCAACCAACCAAAAAAAAAAAAAGATTCTTAGAGAATTGCAGTCAGAATTCTTTTCAATTGAATAATAGGAGTGGAAGATCATGGTTATTTTGCTGTTAATATTCATAATCATTGTTATATGCTGTCAAATGTGCCATGTAGAGCTACCCTTCTTCAAAATGCCTACCGCTTCCATTGGCTGTCTGTGAAAATGAAGAAGTGTGGAAATGTTTTTTGCTATCTACTTACTAAACCACTATGAAGTAGACAGATTAAAAAGAAATAAAGAATGTGAAGAGACATAGCAGATACGACTTCGGGAGTGAGCAGAAGAAGTGCGAGAAATGGAGAACAGGAGAGACTGATGGGATAGTAAAAATTATTTCAGGTCTGCTTTTTGGTGCAAACTGCTGCGCACAGCAGGGTTTCCACTCTGGGACCATTTTGTGCTACTTGTCAAGGTAGAAGACTGCTATATCTGAGTAATAAAAGCAGATAAAAATTCTTAAAGTGACATAATGGAGGCAGGCTGGGGTGGTTGAAAAGATCCAATTGGTTTAAAAATCCAATCTATAATGACTCATTTGAGTACCCTACTTCTGCAGGTGCAACTGGCTAGATTTCTCTGAGCACAATCAACTCTGAATTTTCTGGGTTACACATTTTTAAATTATTCTCATACACTATTTAAAAATTGGTCCCAGACCAATGTGTGCTAAGCAGCTCCTTTCTTCACTCATTTACCTGCCTTATCCTCTTGCTATATCTCATATCTGAGGTTGAAGCTATGTGCCCTGATCTTCACTGCAGTAACACTTTGTCTGATGCTACTGCAATGCTGTTATTAAATATGTCAGATGATGCAGGTAGGCAATATCCATCAGAAAACTACAAATTGTTCCCCAATGTCAGGAAATCCCAGAGAATGCAGCTGACGCAGCTCATCTGACTTTTCTCCATGGACCAGCTATTCTGAGTGGAACTGATTTGAGATACACAAGGTCCAATCTGTGGGATTTTATGAAGCATATCTGGAAGGTAAAAGAATTATTATGACACCCCTACTAGCCTATTAGATGCAAGTCTCCCGAGCCAGGTCCCCTTTCTGCTTTAAAGCTTTCCATGAGTCCTGCCTTAGCTCCAGTTGCATCTGCTAGTTTTTAGTACAAGCCTCTTTCTCCTGTCTGTGAGACTTTTAGCCACACTCTCCCCTCTGCTTGTTGCTATGTCATCTTCATAGCCACCCTCTTCTTTTACCACTGTTTTGGTGCTACCCTCACTTGTGATTGCAAAGGTCACACTGTCTTTGTTTGTCCTCTTGTTTTCTTGGATCTTGGGACTAATTTCTCTATCCCTTCAGGCTGAGTGGCAGCCAGAGCCTGAGCCCAACAAGCACTGTTCCCAGCTGCTGGTTAAACATCATGCCACTGTGTTTGGGAAACACTTCTCCTTGCTGGATTTGACTGTTTCAGCCAGGCAGGTAGGTAACACGGTCCATCAAGCACCTTCTGTAGGTACAAGGGAAAGCACATGGGTCAGTGATCCATAGACATGGGTGCCTGACCTCAACTAGCATTTAATCTTTACTGATAACCTTTAATTACCCATGACTGTGTTTCATATTCATAAAAAAATTCCTTGCTGCTCTGACATATCAGGCCTGTGGAGACTGGAAGTTGCAGAACACTTGTGAAGATGCAAGGAAAAATATTCCCTGTGTTTCCTATTGTATTGCTGGGAAGTTTGGTATCCATAGCAGTTTTGTGGGGCAACCCCAGTGAGTTCCACACTGAATCCTGCCTCTGAAGCTCAGGCAGGATGGCAAGAGCCTCCTGCTAATGCCTTGATCTGGAGGCTTTGAGCTAGGAAAGCTGCCTGTCCTGGATCTCTATCCCAGTTCTAGCTAGAACAGTCAATGGCTGCATAAACAGGATGCACTGGGCAGGAGAGAGATATTCACCCAACGCAATGAAAAGGTTCTAGGAGCAGCTCTTGTTGCTGATGGTGATCTCAACAAAGCAAGAGCTTTTTGAGGCAGATGCTCTGTCCTTCTCTGTAGCCCATTCCCTACCATCTTAAACAGCTCTCGGCTTGTGGGAGTTGCTGTACCAGAGGTCTGGGCCACTAGAGAATATTCCCTAAGGATGTTCTGTCATTCTGCAGGTAGGGCCAGGACTGGTTTTTCTGATCTTTGAGCATGCTTTCCTGGGCCAAGGGATCATCCTGCAGACTGTGACTCCCTTGGAGCCTCTCCTGCAGAATGTTGTCCATAAAATCTACTACCAGAAGAACATGCCAGCCATAATCCCCAAGTTCATCCTGAAAGCAGAGTGCATACAGGTAAGGTTTCTGAAGAAGACCAGCCAAAGATGGGCCTTCGAAGATAGCAGATAGAAGTCCCTGAGGAGGAAGAGCTGCTGTCTATCTGGGCTCAGATATATGCCAAAGTGCTGTGGGATAGATAATTTTAGTGCTCAGTATGATCTTTCAGTTTTGATAGCCCAAAGAATTAAACTGGTCACTAATTTTCACAAGATTTGGCAACTCTAGCCCCTCCAAAATGTCTTTCCAGCTTTAACGTTATCAGTTAAAAATAATATAAACATTTCTATATGGTCATTCGGGAGAAATGATAAAAATAAGCCTCATGTGCAGGTAGTGTGCACAGGTTGGTTCACCTTCCTCACCTTAATGTGACCCTCCTTCTTCCCTACAGTTTGAACGCGATGTAACCATCTGGAACAACAAGCAGTATCTCCCTAAGCCCCTTCTTGTAAAAGAAGACAGCACGATCCAAAAGCACAGGCGTTGGTATGCTCAGTTCTACAGTGAGAGAAGCCTGAAGTTCACGGCGCCTGAGGACCTGGACTGGTGAGGCCCGTGCTCCCCTGTGCTGAAGGTGGCCAAAGCCACCAGGTGCCTCCTGCCCATTGGAGCTGGAGGACAGCAGAGTTGTGCAGACTTGAGTGATGCAATGAATTCAGGCACAGGGACGTGAGTCTGAGCCCTGGAGCTCCCCTTCATGCTCAGATCATCAAAGGGTGTTAACACATTTGCTCTTACATCTGCACTGTGATGTGTGAACATAAGGTGAACAGACCTCCCTCTAACATTTCCTTGTCTCTCACTGCTGCCATCCCTTCAAACATTGTATGAAATGCCTTTCATATGGCCTTCTCTTACCATAAGTTTCCCTTCCCAGCAAGGCCGGTTGTTGCTTCTGCACCAGCATCTTGACTGGTGCAGAGTTCAGCTCTGCAGAAGCCGTGGCTGAGGCCTACAGAGCAGTCACTATGACCGTAAGATCTGCCTTCTTCCTTCCTTCTGGCAGCAGTCAGGGCAGCCTGGGATTTAGCTTGTGACCATGTAGGGAACACTTGCCCTTACCATATCCATGGGCTTGCTAGCTCATCCTGAGCTCTGCGTGAATGATTCCTCATGCAACTGCTGCACCTGGCCAGGAAGTAAAGAGACTATATCTTGATGATAAAACAAAACACTCAGAGAACAGTTCTGCAGGTCATGGATGTGAATAAGATCCTGCTTTGAAACACGATGGATTTAGCACTACCAATTGGCTATAGACATTTTAGTCTAATAGCAAGATCACTGGTATCATCACTTACTGTTGCTGCAATCAAAAATTAAGTTCATATACAAAGACTAGGCTGCAAATCTGGGTAAACTGTTCAAATTAATGAGCTTTCCAAATAGGATGGATGCTACTGGTGCTGACAGGGTAGGACCCTTGTGTCTTTCAAATTTTGCACTTTATTGAAGCTTTGCTTTCCTCGCTCACCATTAGCCCACAAAGCAGGAGTCAGGAGTGAGGAATGTGCCACCTTAGCACCCTGGATAACAGTGTGCCAAGCTGCCTCCTGACAGCCATTCTTTGCCTTTCATGCCAGGCTTGTGCACTGTTAGTATTTCACTATTAAAGTCTTTTTCTAAACTGATATCATGCTTGTGGATTGTTGTTTGTCACTGCTTTGTGGCATGAACCTAAGGAAGGATCTGTACATGGATGCATTATGCACGGGATGATATAAAGGTCACACGTGAAGAAGTGTCCTGGGAGGTTTCCTTGCATAGAAGATACGATTGTAGAGCCTCTGCTGTCCTTCAGGAGTCACAGGGAATCTCTAGCAGGAGCCATTGGGCAACTCGGACAAGGAGCACTACCTAACCAACAGCTTGAGCCACTGTGTCCTAAAGGCACCAGCCTGAGCAGCCCTGCTCAGCCTCACCAGGGACACCCACACTCCTGCCCAGGGCCCAGGACCCAAGGCAGTCCATCCCAGAGCCATCAATTCCTGTCCCTGGGATGCGGTGCCAGTCTCCACCTCTGCCATGTCCCACCAATCCCAACCCAGATGTGTGGGCCTGTCCTGTCCTTGACTCATCCTCGTCCCCATAGCCCTCCCAGCCTTGGGCTGGCCCTGTCCGCACAGCCCTGCCCAGCCGTCACAAACTGTGGCTGTTGCTGGTTATTCTCACCAGATGTGGTCCTGACCTGGGACTTGACATCTCAGCTTGATCTTAGACCAGCTTCACCAATGCAAACCTGCCTGACAGTCTGAAGCGGCCATGATCTCAGGATCTGCCCTGTCCATCACACGGTTGGGTGGTGGGACAAGCCCTGTCCTGTCAGCTGTGTTATCAGCTTGGCTCCTACCCCTTCACGTGCATGTTTGCTGGGCACAAGGCCAGCACAAACTCACACAGGTTCAGAGGCTTGACCTGCACAGCCCCCAGATCTCCATCCCTTGTGCAACACATTGGGCTGGGGTCTCCATTCCTCACTGTGCTCCCACCTGGAAGATCCCAAGATGAACACAAATCCAGGGAAGACAAATTGTAGATGACTAGATTAGAGCTGGTGAATTAAATTAGCTTCACTACATTCATCAGTCCCTCTGAAATTAAAGGAAACTATAGGTTATCTCCAGTAGAAACTGAATCCTGAGTTAACATCTTACATACCTTTTAGTTATCTATTATCTATTATACATACTTGGAATTCTAAACAAATCCTGCCTATAACATTTGGGCATCCAATCTTACTGTTTACTGAAATTACTCATTTACATCAAGTCTACTGCAAAATTGCACCCGTTCTTAATACTATGTTCTGATAGCTTTATTAGTGTGGCTCATCCTCACACTTGACTAACCAAGATAATTCTACCCCTTTGCCACAATTATTTTTGTATGATGTCTTTGGATTCTGTTTTTCCCTACCCTACAAATTCGCTGCTGACTTGCTAGAAATCCCCAAAGGAAATCAGAATAGGTCAAACAAAAGGATACATGAAGGGTGGTGGACAGTGCACCACAGATTCGACAGCAGAGGCTTGCACTCCATCTGCTCTGAACCCTGGTCTATATGCATGTTCCACTCAGGACAACTAGCAAGTAGTTAGAGGTGGATCTTGGCGTTCTGGACAAACAGCATGAGCAGGACTCCATGTGCAGTGCCCAACATGGAAGTTCTGGCAACGCCATGGTGTTTATGGGCATGGCGTGTCTTCTTGATGGCTCCCAGGAGGTATTTTCCACACAAAGCCCTTGACAGTGCCAAGCCTCACTCTTGTCTTTGCGATCTTGTGAGACACGTTGCCACAGGTCAAGACGTGCATAGTCTCTAAGCAAAGACTTCTGTGCCCTGTGATATTTTAGCATTACCAACAGCTATTAAAGACCTTGTCTTGCAGAAAGAGGAATGAGCCAACCTAGCGCCTGTCGAGTGCCTGGTTGCTTCTTTCCTCCCAGGGCAAAAGCAAGCTGGCAGATGAACCTGCTGACGTGAGGGAGAATCTGCAACTGTGCTGGACAGGAACATGGCACGTGTCACCTAAGATTGTTCTGCCCTGTATCAGCCCACATTGCTTTTGCAGCGTAAATTTGAGCAGGCCTGAGCCTGTCCTGGCAGTGTAAACGCAGATACTGCATTACAACAAGCCGACCACCCACCCATCCAGCTGAGCACAGAGCGCCTTGGTTCTCAAAGCACTTTCTGCTACACAAGGATCTTGGTGGTAGGAGAGAAGCACATTTCTGAACAGGCAGGTAGGCTTGAGACAGAAGATGTTCTAGAAACCGGTCTAGGGAGAGTTGAGTGGCAAAGGGATGCAGGGAGAAGCCCAGCGCTAAGTTTTATGACTGATGAAGTCCATCTAAGCGACTCCTGCTGCTCTGTGGGATTTAGCGATGGGTATTTTGCCTCTTCAGACTGAGATGTTCAGGAGCGAGTGAGGTCCCACACGTGTACTTGGAAAATAGAAAACCCCACACACTTCTTTTTTTTTTCCTAAAGGTTGTTTTATTGTAAAACCATAAATACAACACTGACATGAAAATCCTCAAGCAACGGATGCTTTCTTACAGTTACAGTTTGTCTTCTGCCTTGGCATCAACTCTGAAAAGAATGTTGCAGAAACATGTCTCTAAGATACCTCCAAATAACTGAACTCTGGCCTGGAGCTCTCAGCTAGTTTGGAACCTAAGTGGAATTATTCCTTCTCTCTTGTGGAACATTTCCATTCAGACAGCAACAGACTTGTAAAAACAGCAACATTTAAACACCTTGATTTTTTTTTTAATAATCCTTTTCATTTGACGTCAGTCTAAGTTTCAAACAGCACTGAATTTATTTAGCTGTAAAAAACAAAACAAAAACAAAACAAAAAATCCTAAAAGGAAAAAAAAATCAGAAGAACTTGAGTTGGCCTCAAGCGTTCATATATCACAATGAAAATCAGCAACTCAACCCCGTGCAATATTGCTCTCTATTGAGTCATTCGATCCACACCAACAATACATGAGACTTCAAACAGGTTTTGTTTTGTTTATTAACACAGCAAGTGTGACATTAGATAACCTTTTAAATACAGTACATGGTACAGTGCGGGGCCAGCTGCCCGCACATTTCCCCGTTATGAAGACAAAGCCAGCGGTGGCGGTTTATAAAAATATCGTGTTGCTACAAAAGTATAAATTAATGCTACCGGTATTAAGAAATATTAAACACATAAAACTTATAAGGATTAAGAAAAATATTCATTAATACCTGTAGAAAACTCTGGCCTAAAAAAGATATTTTTTGTATATTTTTTTGTATATTTTTTTTGTATTTTTTAAGATGACATGAGATTCTTGCACTCGCAGGTAGAGACACACGCAGGTGCGTCTGTGGTATTGCCTAGAACATCTGCATCTACAGAAAGTAAGGAAATGCACAAAAGTTACTGAGGGAGGGGAGGGTGAGGAGGGAAAGGAGAACAGTGTTTTCTTGATGAAACAACAAGAATACAGCTCCCAACCGGAGGTTTCAAAAAAATGAACATATAAAGGAGGAACAGCTTCTCTTTTCAGACTGGCTGCAAAGAAGGATTTCCTGATGGTTTCATTTGTTGGTGTGACACTTTCTAGCTACAGCGTGGACCTGAATCCTCCCAGCCTGGACGATGTGTGTTCCTCCTGGAATTACAGCCTTGGCTAGTCACCTGTCACCAATGTTTCAGTTTATCCATTATAGGTTTTCCTTTTAAATAATTAAAAAATAAATTAAAGTCCCTCAAAGGTTAAAGGGACTTTGGAAAACAGCTCCTAAGACTGTTGCTCTTTCCAGAACACATGCCTCCTTCCTAGAGCAGAAAGGTCTTTCTCCGTAGATAGCAAGGAAAATAAAATAAAATAAAAAATCCCTCCCTTCTCCCCTGCCCCCTACATCCTGGAAAAAAAAAGTACCATCCTATCCACACACATTGTAGAGACCACCACAAGAACCCCCAGAAGACTGAAAACAAGCTTTCAAGGCCAGTGAGGCTGGAGGTGTCTTTTTTAAGGAACTTTGGTTGTAAAAAGCAAGGGTTTGACATGCCTGTACTCGTCGATTCCAATGTAAAATATTCCTATCTTAAGGCTGTGCTGCTCACCCGGGCACCAAGATACG